ATATGCGGAGTAAGCTTGGAGTAAGAAGTAAGCCGTAAGAATTAACCAATCATAGACGATTATTTTTATAATAATCGACTACGATTGGCCAATTATTACGGCTTACTTCTTACTCCAAGCTTACTCCGCATATTGTAGACGACGCTTAAGGGACGTCTACATTGGAAGTAAGCAGTAAGAAGTAGGAAGTAAGAATAAGAAACTGACCAATCATAGTTGATTATTCTTCTCACATTCGACTGTGGTTGGTCAAATTCTTACTCTTACTTCCTACTTCTTGCTATTTACTTCCAATGTACGTCCTTTAAGGCATCGAGGACTACTACAATTTTTGCCGTGGTAATTTGAAAGAAATTCGAACATGTCTCAATTCAAACGCGTCTCAAGCTTCGAACATTGGTTGATATCAAACAAGCTAATGGTGCCACCGGAGTGGGAGCATATGTGCATATACGTCTATAAAGGTTTGAACTACTTCATGATGCTTAACAGTTACAAGGTCTTCTTGCTCTATTCTTACAGCATTGCTGAATTAAAAATGCCTTGTCTCTACGGTTCTTTAACCTTGGCGGAGAAAATATTTTACATGCACGGAAAAAAGGTATTTGGTTGAATTAACCAAATATCTGGTCGAATATGAACGATCCAGAAATTCCGATTGAAGTAACCTGAATTCTGTTTAAGTCAATCAAAAATCTTGTTAACATAAACAGAATTAGGGTTACTTCAATCGGAATTTCTGGATCGTTTATATTTGACCAGATATTTGATTAATTCAACCTTTTTTCCGTGGGATTGAACGTTTTCTTGAAGTTTTCTTTTAATGAGGTTGCCGGTCGTTGTCGCTCTTATAAATGTGTGTGTACATAGCTGTATAAATAGGGCATAATGGAGGATTCACACCGCGTCCGATGTCCGACGTACGACGTCCGATATCCAATAAGAAAACAGTCTTCTAATAGAGAATTCAATTCTCCATTGGAAAGCTGTTCTCCTATTGGATATCGGATGTTATACGTCGGACATCGGACGCGGTGTGAATCCTCCATTAAACTTCGGGCCCGAAAAACATTCCAAACTTAAAAAGAAATCGTGCGAATTTGACAGGTTGCGAGGAAATTAATGCTGCAATTCTAAACAGAATCGTAAGTCTCGTAATTTGTTCTCGTAAAATACATAAGAACTTATGAATAGATTTACAATTCTATGTGATATCATATATCATGCAATTACTCGTAAATATCTACGATTTTATATAATTTACGATATTTACAAGTGATCGTACGACATATGATATTACATAGAATTGTAAATCTACTCATAAGTTTTTACGAATTTTACGAGAACATTCGATTTTACGAGAGAATTCGATATGGTTTCCGGGTTATAAAAGTAACTTTTTATCGCTACTGTTACTCGAGAAATAACGAGCTACATGTTCCCAAGTAGCACAGCAGCGTCTGCAAAGCGTTCAGAAAGCGCTTTTGCAAGTGTCTTATTGCTATAAAAGCGCTATATAAGCGCTTTACAAGTGCTTTGTGCTACGTGAATTACCTTTTTCTACCAGAATTTTAAGTACCTATTTTTTTATAGAAATTTGGTAGAAACAGGTAATACGTAACTTGTAACGTTATTATTTCCCGAGTAATAATAGTGATGAAAAGTGGCTTTTATAATTATTTTTGTAATTTAATTTCTAAGCTTACTACGACACTATTGTCCAAGTTGTGTAAACTTACTCTATATGTAGAAAGCAATAATAAAAGTAACGATTATTTTTATTTGTTATTCGGAAAATGTAATTACGTGACTGTTATTAATGATTGTTAACCCAGAGCAGATATCACAATCTTTCATCTACATATATATATTTTTCTCAACGAACGATAATAACGTAACAATTTCCTGACGTCATTAATATGTCTTTTATATGTCATGGTATTTACTGGGTTATCATTTTACAATGAAGGCTGCAAAATTCACTGTCAATACTGAAAATCTACAGTATACGTAACATAAACTATATATTTTCAGTACTGCCAGTGAATATCGGAAAACAGCCTAAAGCCCATCGCACATGAAATCACATAACTGCATGTGCATAAGCTAATATTATATTTGTCGTACGATAAGATTTTCAAATACGTTGATTGGTTGACGAACAGGGAACTTAGAAATATTAGGTCCTCAATTTAATTCTCGGCTCCTACGTTTCATCGACTGCAGAACCTATTCGAATCAGAATTTTTTTCCGCCGTATAGTTATTTTAAAGCGCCATCTTTCAGCTTCAAAACAAGATATAATACACGAGCGTACTGTAAACATAACCTGAAAAATTAGTTGTAGACGCGATGTCGTTCGAAAAGCAACATTACCCTAGGTGGCGATGGATTATATCCGGGGCCAATTCATGATGGATGAAAAGCAACATTTGAGACACTACTTTCTTTTTGCGTTTCAACTAAAAAAAAATGCTGCGAAAGCTCAGGACATGATTTGTGCAGCTTTGGGAGGGAATACTATTTCGTACAATACTTGTAAGAAGTGGTTCTAGCAATTCCGAACTGGAAATTTTGACTTAAATAATGCAGAACGTCCGGGACAGCCAAAAAAGTGGAGGATGAAAATTTGGAAGCATTCCTGGAAGAAAATCCTTGTCATACATTACTCGGATAGGAACTCGGAGTAACACCGCTGGTCTGTTCTTTTCAGCTGCACTACTGAACTAGTGCAATAAGTTAAAGTGAGACAAATATATGTTTTCTCGCTCTAACTTATTGCATCAGTTCAGCAGTGCAGCTGAAAAGAACAGACCACACAAGTCATTTCTAAACGTTTACACAAGCTAGGGAAAATTCAAAAAGAGAATCGTTGGGTTCCCCATGAACTCACAACTAAGAATAAGAGTAGACGCTTTGATGTTATTGTGTCATTGCTCTCCAGATTCAAGAAAAAGAACTTTCTGCATAAGATTGTGACCTGTGACGAAAAATGGATCCTCTACGATAATCCGAAATAAAGACGCGAAAATCGTGGATTAATCCCATCCGGTAACCCATCAACCGCAAAACCAAATATCCACGCCAAAAATATGTTGCTGTGTATATGGTGGATCAGTTGGGCATCGTGCATTATTGGAGTATTGGAGTTGCTCCAACCTGGTCAGATCGTCATTACTGACCGTTATCAGCAGCAACTGATTCGTGTTAGTGACGCTCTGGAGGAAAAAAGGCCTTATACTGGCAAAGGAAGAAGGCAAGTCATTTTGCTTCAGGACAACGCACGGCCACATACAGCAAAAAAGACTGGAAACGATCACCGAATTGGGTTGGGAGATTTTATCGCACCCGATATATTCTACAGACTTGGCCCCTTCGGATTTTCATCTCTTCCGATCCCTGCAATATCACCTGGTTGATAGCCGCTTCACATCTCTTGAGAAAGTCGAAAAAAGCCTCAATGACTTTATCACATCAAAACCACCGTCTTTTTTTCGATCTGAGATTCGACAATTGCCTGAAAGGTGGCGAAAGTGTGTAGAAAGTGAGGGAGATTACTTCGAAGATTAAAGGTCCTTGCACAATGCCAGGCTACAGGCAATAGAAATAGGTATTAGCCAATAGGAATAGGGAATAGAAATAATTGAATATGAATAATTAGCGAATACTTGAGAAGTATTATTGATATTTACTTATATATATTAATATATATCAATGATATATATTATTACATATCAATGATACATTTCAAACATTGAAAATTCAAGCATTGTTCAAACATTGTTTCATTGATATATATATATAAGTAAATATCAATGATACTTCTCAAACATTCGCTGACTTGCCATAATAAACAGTCTTTTCGTTTTCTCCGTCGCGAAAAACACGTTACAAACAGGACACACTTCACCACACTTCACATATTTTCGATGTTGATAGGTTAGAATGTTTTCCGTTTTTGTTCCGTTCCGTAACAGTTCTGTGCCATGTGAAACCTACCTATCAAACAACAGAACGGAATAAAAACGGAATTACTCTGGCTGACCCCCACTATATCTCTTTTCCGGAACTGTTCCGTTAAGGCGCCGTCCCACGGAGCGGAAATTTTTAGCGGAACGGAACGTGCGGAGTTAGCACGACCAATCACAGCCGTTCCGCTTTTCTTCCGGCGCTTTTTCTATTTTCCTTGTGTCCCATGGAGCGGAATACGCGGAAGCGGATCACGCGGAATAATACAAAAAGTAGACTTTTTAATGTTATTTCTTAATGTTTTTTTAATAATTTTAATAATATTTTATACAAATGATATAATATATGATAAATTAGTAAAGAGTAAAATTAGTTTCTCAGTAAAATATTTTTTATGAAAATATGCAACTATTTTACGATTGGCTAAACATAATTCCGCTCCGCGTTTACCGCTTCATGGGACAGAAGGAACATCAGCGGAAAGTATATCAGCGGAATTGCGGTGATACATTATGTAGTATAATAAAGTGAGATCTGTTGTAATTAATGGATTATGGAGAATATATTATGTAATTTTTGTCGTCTGTGGCTGTTAATTAAAAATAGATATTCTATATTAAAACAGCAAATTATTCGCAAGAGAATGTTTATATTATATTTATTATATGTCAAAGAATGTGACAAAGAAAAATCTAAACGTCTTTTTTGGGTACGACCAATATTAGCTATATTATTTTCTGAGTTTTTGTTGTTGTAATCATTTTGTGGAACTGCAACAAAAAAAATTTATTAAAATAATGATAAATGAAACAAATTGCAATTGAAGTAAATCGCTAATAAATCATGTACTCATTCTTACTACATGGTTTTTATCAATGTGTAACAGATGGACCTCTTCATTATATATTTCAAAACATTTATGTAGCTTAATATTGGCATATGAACCACTTATTATGCAGCCGCAATAACCGCATTTTATTTTCTATAAACATATTCATATATTATACATAAATGTTTACTACAATTATCAAAATATTAATTATTATTACTTACGATCCCTCCACTCATCATTTCTGAACAAAATAATAAAGAATGTCACAAAAATATATATATAATAAATGTATAAGAAGCAAATGAGATATGTAAGATATGTTGAAATTATCCGTGACTATCTTTACCCTTTCCGCAAAATTTCAGCGGTAAGATTATAGCGAAACGGCACAAAAAAGAACGAGCGGCTGTGATTGGTCGTATTGGTTCGGCGTGTTCCGTTCCGCGGAGAATTTCCGCCCCATGGGACTTCGGCCTTATGGCTCCTGCACACAGGATGCGATAATGCTTGCCGCGCAGCGGAAGTCCACGTGATAGCCAATCAATATGTTGTTTTTCTGTAAGAGCTAGAAGGTTATTACGGAAAGTAGCATATTGATTGGCTGTCGCGCGACTTCCGCCGTGCGGCAAGCATTACCGCGTCCTGTGTGCAGGAGCCATAATGGGACACCGGCCTAATGGCTTCTGCTCAAGCGATCTAGCCAATTAACGTGCCGTTTTTCCATAAGAGCTAGAAATTTATTGGCTATCGCATTGGTCTTGTCGCGCGGCAAGCGATTTCGCATCCTGTGAGCAGGAGCCATAAAGCCAGCATTGAAAGAAAGAGAAAGAGAGAGAGAGAGAACATTTCCATATACCGTGCTGCCGTACGTGCCGTCTTTCAACGTTTGCGTTAGCTGTACATTAAACGGTCAAAATGGTATGTATTTTACATCCAAAAATTTTAAGATAATCATTAAATAAAACATACAATAATTGTGAAATTATTTATCAATAGCATGTGGTGAAGTGCATATCATATATATAAGTTAAAACTATTGAGAAGCATATTTCAAGAAATACATAACCTCGTTACACAGTTAAATGCCTGTAATATTTCTTAATGTTTTGATTACAGACAATAATAATAACTAAAAAACTATGAATTCAAATTTGCATTGATTGCTAAAGTTTACTGTATTTTGTAAACTGATTTGAGAAAATCTTGCTGGAATGTCAGTAAATAATTTAATATCACGTGTGTTTTACTTACAGACAGAGGGTGCAGCTACTATCAGAACAAGGAAGTTTATGACCAATCGGCTTCTATGCCGAAAACAAATGGTGAGTTCATCAATAATATTTATACTTATTAACTTATTGCTTGAGTGGTTACATATGATATCCTTTATAATATGTAAATTTATGTGCAAAATTTCTTGTAGGTCGTAGATGTTATTCATCCAGGCCAGTCATCGGTCAGGAAAACTGAGATTCGTGAAAAATTGGCAAAAATGTACAAAGTGACACCAGATGTCGTTTTTGTATTTGGTTTCCAAACCAACTTTGGAGGTAGCAAGTCCACTGGCTTTGCACTTATTTATGATACCTTGGACTATGCCAAGAAGTTTGAACCCAAATATAGGCTAGCAAGGCATGGTCTGTTTGAAAAACAAAAACAGACAAGGAAACAGCGCAAAGAGCGTAAAAATAGGATGAAGAAAGTGAGAGGCACCAAAAAGAGTAAAGTTGGTGCAGCGTCTAAAAAGGTAGGTGAACCAAAGTAAAATATATTTGTTACATAGATGTATCGTCACATTTCCCTTCTTTTATCTTTCTTAAATGTTAGTGCTGTAATTGGGTAAAAAAAAGTTATCTTTCATTATTGAATGCTTCTCAAAATTTATGCATGTTGAAATGATGATTTCTAAACAATGGGCTTTGGCTTTAATGTCTAAATTATTAGCTTGATCTGGTATACATTCTACTTGATATATGGGTATTGTTTTTATTCAAATAATTATAATATATTAAAGGAAATTTTTTTTTGCAATATTTTAAAAACACAAGAGTATCTTATTGCAGATATAATTTATTAATTTATAATAACTATTAATTTTAATTCTTTAATAATAAAATTATTTAATATTTAAACTTATTTAATTAATAATTGTTTAATAGAAGTTTAAAAAAAATTTATAATTTTTATTATGCATGCTATGGTGGTATACGCTTGTTATTCATATTCTAGGGAAGGAAGTAGACAAATGCTCATCATTTGCACTACAGACTTCTGAAGAGGCAGTATCTTATTTATGATGCTTATGGTCAGCATGCAAATCTCTAAGTTTCAGTATATTTTTGTTCTATATTAATTGTATGAACATGCTGTTAATTTATTGAGTGCTTTTATAACAGAGTATTATTTCACTTTATCTTTGGGGTTTGTTGCACTATTTACCATTATTAACTAATCACTAATTAATGATTCTAACATCTCATACTTGCTTAAGGGCCATTACACAATGGCAGACAATAGGTAATAGGAACAGGCAATAGCCAATAGGAATAGAAATAATTGACCAATCAGAATTTCTATTCTCTATTCCTATTGCCTGGCATTCTGCAAGGACCCTAAGATATTACATAAAGAAATACAGATTTGTCTATGACTAAGTGCATCAAAGACTGCACATCAAATACTTTTTGCCAAAATATCCAAAATATAGAATGTTCTGGAGTAATCCCTAGGCAGGATTTCATTAGTTATCTTGTATATACTTATTTACTTTTAATAACTTAAATTCAAAGTTTGACACGTTACCTAACATCAAAAATTCTAAATTGGCATAACAAATTTAAAATTAAAAACGGTTTATGTTGTGAAAATTCATTTTGAGATTTTAGATTAAACTTTAGATAAGTATATTCTAAATTTTTCAAAACATTTTTAAATATTGTATAAATTAAGACTGTTACAGGAGTTATGTGAAAATTGATAATTGAAAATTCAGATTTTATCAAATAATATAAAACAAACTATTATTAATAATTTTATTTCAAGATACATTTTGTGTGTTGAATGTGCATTTTGCATTAGTATAAAGTTAAAAGTGTAAAAGATTACTAATAATACTTAATATATATTAATTTGAAATTATATTATATGTTAATGAGCATTGTATATTTTGTATTCAATTATTGCTATTATTCAGAAGAATATAGTGCTTTAGTTAGTTAGTTGAAAGTATAAGTAATGTGTTTCTTTATCATGATAATCTATACAGTTTGTGTAGATCAATTTTAAAAGATTTTTGACGTGCATGCTGTACTCAGTTGATTTTAGTAAGAGTTATTCTATTCATCTAAACAAAACAACTCTTTTTTTTTTTATTTCAGTAATACCATAAACTTTTATGAAGATCAGAGGTCTCCCGACATCCACGTAAAACTTATTGTAATTAATGATATTTTTATTGTAATTATAATAAATTTTACGTAATAAAGGCGTATTCTTTTTTATATAAACCTCCATTATATAAACCTCCATTTGTTACATTTAATCATTCGATATCTCTTGGAAGCATCAAAACAAATGTTAATTTAATTACAAAACATATGTTTATGATAAATACAGTAAGCTTACACAATTTGATTTTTTTCGCTTGATCACTTACTCTTCCAATATCTTTATAGCGTTTTGACGAAATTTTTGTTTCTACTGAACTGCATGGTGCATCTATCATTGACTTATTTTAGAGTTAATTCGCTCATTTATCTATCCTACGATCCAATCTCAATCACATTATAACCTCGACGGAAGATGGACGATTTTTCGGTCTTTTCGTAGATTTCTCGATGGTCTCGTTGTCCTCTATTCGTTTACTATATACAGGTTGAGCTAAGTCAAATGGCGTTGTAGGTGATTCGGTTGTAGTTACTTCTTCAGACATTACTATCATGGTCGATTCGCTGGCGATTATAGTAGACTCGGTAGGAGTCAAAATCGGCTCGGTCGAGAACGTTGCACTCGACCCTGATTCGTCGTTGATGGCGATCGATTCGGTAGACGGTGTGGTAGTTGGTTCAGCGGACATCAAGATTGGCTCGGTGGGTGTTACAATCGATTCCGTGGTTGAGGCACTCGATTCGCCATTTATTACTGTGGATTCGTTGGAAGTTACAATTTCTTCGGTTGACGTTATTGTTGGCTCAGTGGGTGTTATAATCGATTCCGTGGTTGAGGCACTCGATTCGTCATTTATTACGGTGGATTCGTTGGAAGTAGGAATTTCTTCGGTTGACGTTACTGTTGGCTCCGTGAAAGCTGTCGTGGCTACTTGGGTGACAAGTGGAGTCGATTGGACTGGAGTTGCCGTGGACTCCGCGATGGGTACGGTTGTGCCGGCGGTGGTAGTAGTTAGGACTGATGATTGTTCAGTCTGGGTAGTAGCCGTCGTACTTGCTTCGTCGAAGGGTCGAAGAGTTGTCGCCCTTCGGACTGTGGTGAATTCGGTTCTCGGCGTGACAGTCGTTGGAAGTTCTGGATTTCCGAATCCGAATATGTTGGTCCAATCAAAGTTCGGAAACGAGGGTAACGTCGGCATCCAAGATTTGAAGTCCCACTCATCCGTATCGCATTCCGAGCAGAATTTCTCCCCTGCAATTTTTCGAATAATGTACCAGTTACCTAAGTGGATGTCCCAATCTTGTTTTGGGTCGAAGGTTATGTTAGCTATTGCCAATGAAAAAAAAAAGATTACAATAAGAACATTAAAATGGACCTGTATCTAAAGGAAACAGACAAAATAAAGGAGAAATTATATCAGGAGAATGTGAGGATGTCGAAGTCTTCAGGAAGATTACTACTGTCACGCTAATTGTATCCCTCGCGAGTAAGATTCACAAGTGACGCATCATGTAAATCATCGAAGTCGCGATATTTCAATTATGTTCCGTAGCGAAGCATAAACACACAATTTAACGTTCGCAGCGCGAGCCCCAAGCCGCGGTGATGAGAGTTTAAAGGGGAAATACTGATTTAAAGGGGAAATCTGACCCGCCAAGAAAACTCCGTTTTTTGCATTATTGCGCGTTACGCTTACACAAATCCGTGAAGAAGGTTGGATAACCCTCTATGCGTTTCTCCAAAGCCTTATCGATATCCAGGATATCCTGTGGTGTGAAACTCGGAGTCGACATCTCCTCGTCGCCAAACCACTCCTGCCATTTCCCCATAAATCGGTCCTTCATCATCCTGAACCATTCTCGTACCGACTCTCCGAAGCCAACCGATCGATGTCTACTGGGAGGACCCGCACCATCTAGGGCGAGTCTTGAGATTATTATGAGTAAAACGTCGATAACGCACAGAGAGTAACAAAGCGCACTAATTAACTAGCAAAGTGGTTATTTCAGTTCAACATTGTTCCATCTCTTTTGTTTGATCTAAGCTGACGTGACCCGTAACCGGATTGTTGCATATTAGTTATGAATCTCACTGAAGTCGAGCGGCATCAGCATATCCCAAGTGTGTTGACCTTTATTGCGAGCTATCAAGTTAATTCTAACGAAACAATGTCGGTCCATTAAACTCAATAAAACGTTCCGCTGTTATTTAATACTAGACATATCACTATATCCCTTTAATCCCTTCAACGAACAATAATTTTTCAACAGTTAAATCGCAATGCGACACTCGTAGCAGAAAAAGACGCGCAAACACCCATTAAACGAATGTCAGGGTCCGGTTGAAATTAACATGCAATTGTGATTGAAGGACAGACGCAGGTTTACCTAAGTCTGAGAACCAATCTGAGAACCAATCTACATAAGAAACTTTCCAAACAACGCAAATATCTAAAGTACGTCTTAACCCTTACAGTCCGTACGGGTTTTTTGGGCAATTTTTACTTGTCTTGGGATTAAAAATTTGTATATATATCAAACGCGCACGCGTATCTCTTAAAAATTTATGCTGTCAATTGTATTGTGCTTACACGCTTACTGACACCTGTTGGTTCAGTAGATGCCATTGAGTGTGTAATCGTATGTATCATAAAATAACGGTGTAACGACACATACCGAACCAACAGTTGCGGGCAAGTGTGTACAAAATAGCTCTGAAAAACTGAAACAAGTGATCCAACTTCAAAATCAGTTTTCACGACCCTGAAGAATCTTGTTCTAGACGCACGTATGGCTCACGATTCCAATTTCTATTTTCTTATAGTAGTGTTATGCATAACGTTACTTCAGTTTGAGAATTAATGAGATATATTTAGCAATCATGCGTCCAGAGGATATGTTGTCTTCATTGAGTCCTTCAATTCTTCTTTTCCCTTTCCCCAAGACACATACGCGTATATACACTCGCATGATCATTAACTTAAGTTTAAAGTAATTGTCCACGCTGAACGAAAGCACCTCTATTGAAGATCGGTGTCGGCGTGGCAAGTTGGCAAGTCAAGAACAACAACAGCAGCAGCGGTACACCGCATAGTGGTCGCATTTTGCAACTGGACAAACGCTGCTCTGCGTGCAGCTTTATATGTCCTCCGGCGGAAGTACATGATGGCATGACGATAGTCATCGTTAGTGCCACAATTTTATCTGGAATTGAGCTATATGGAATCGCGCAAGCTAATATCGTTGTTAACCAACCTGCAGACCTTGTTTGCGTTCCGATTCCTGATCAGATCTTTCGATGGCCTCCATGAAGTCCACTGCTCGGACTGTTTAACTTAACACCGAGGGAACTCGATATTATAGGCATAAAGCGCTGATGCCAGCAAGATGCACGATCGGTCGATTGTTCCGCGAACCCAAAGCCATGTTCAACTATATCGTGGTATCACGCTATTGTGCTGCGAGTTACGTATGAACAAATTACATACGGCCGTTTTATGCCGTCGTTATTCATTTGGGTTGGCGAATCCGGCAATCTCGCACCAGCTATCAATTCGTTGCAATCGCTATGCTGTTGATTCACAGTTTAGACTAATTTACCGTATATTACGTTTCGGACATCCAAATATGATGTGTCATTGTGCTGATTTGAAAAATTTATCGCTGATAGAACAAACTGGGAAGTGACACGCATAGTCGAATATTTCGCGATTGAAACGAGGTAACGGTGCATGCGCATCGTCCTTTTATTGAATATACTCCCGTCTTGCGTCCTGAGACACAAGTCGGGTTTTATTATAATTGTTGATTGTTCACAGGTAAGTGTTAATATACACAAAAAGCGTGTTACACATATTAAGTTTGACGCTCTCGAAAAGCTGAAGTTTGTTTTTCTTGCGTATTTTGTGTCCACTTCTGTTAAAGGCTTGCAAAAGTCCGTCGGATTGTTCTTTATTGAAAATAATCACATGGAACATCACATGCCATGTTCAGAGTATCTGTTATCGTAATCGTTTTCCGTCACGTTTCAAGTAATCTTCTAATTCTGCGTTTGAATGACTCATCTTTTATGCCAATGAAATCATTAACAATTCGACGAACTTTTGAAAGCTCCTAATAAAAGGAGATCAGATGCTTGTTTCTCCACGAACGTTGAAGTGGAGGTATCAGTGGCGTCATGGACCAGACGAAAACTGCGAAAATTTTTTATTAAAGTAGTACGAAAATCCGTTTTGCAGTGAGAAAAATGTATCAAACTGGTCACGTTGAAGAACGAATGTACCACTTAATAGTCGACGAATTATAATACGTTTTTATTATTTTGTCAATCCAGGATGACGTATGGAAAATATAGACATTGTGATAATAGCTCAACTAAATATCAACCCTCGAGTTGAGAAGTTGAGATAAACTCCAGCTTGTTTTACATACTTTTGTACTTCCTCGTTTTTATTATTTTCCGAATATTCGGTCGAATATATTTTCATTGGATCTACCTTCGCAAATTTTTTATGACATTAACCTTCAGAAAGAAAGGTAGAGTGATGAAACGCAAAGAGGGTCTTATAGACCCCAACGTACTACTCTTTTAAGAAAGTGTGTTTTGGTTGAAGAAAAAAAAGGAAATAAAAAAGCGTATGTAAAATAAACTGGAGTTTATCTCAACTTCTCCACTCGAAGGTTGATATTTAGTTGAGCTTTTGTCGCAATATCTACATTTTCCATACGTAATCCTGGATCGATAATGTGGAATGGCTGCTGAACATCAATATGAAGCTTAGTGATTAGCTTGCGAATACATCTACTGGATACTGTCAATTAGTCAGAAAATTTCGTAATGAAGACTAACGATTGTCATTGTTTAGCAGATAAAAAACAAGCATTTCACTTTTTAATTGGATCAGTTTTGCGTTTGTCTTACAGATTACAATAAACTGCAGTGTATCGTTTTTTAGTATTATATTTTTAAATCTCCTTCACAAGAGGTAAACCAGAAGAGTCAACAAAATTTCACCTTCAACACAAAAGAATATGTGTAGTAGGAAAAATACACATATTCTAAAAGACATATTTTGTGATTCCTTTTTTATTCGTTCTCTCTCTCTCTCTCTCTCTCTCTTTCTTTCTCGCCGTAAATACATAAATATAATACACGATTAACATGATTCTTGAACCAACTTGATCTGGTCTCCGCTAAATTATCAGCCAGCTTGCCCAATTCTTCCGAAAAGCGAACTTGCACACGCCGAGCCATGTGCAGAACGAAGCCAGTTGAAACCTGCTTGCATACTCGCTTGTTCTGTGCCATACTTCCATGTGATTTTGCTCAGTGTAGCCAGGGCCATTCTACGATCGTGACTTTTTGTTATCCTTCGCGTCCTCAGCTCTATTCTGTATATGTTAGGTTGCTTCTGGAATTCGTCTACCCTGTCCTCCCAATAAATCGCTTACTGTGCGCATGAGTCTACGGTTAGATAACGGACGCCAGTGTGGCCTGTATACTCGGGATTCAGCGACGAAGTTGGAATACGCTCTACGGCAACATACGGCAGCAATCGTGCTGGTTCACAAACATTTCAAGTAAGTATTCTAACGATAAGACTTGTGTACCCTTCAATTGGAACAAAGTCAAGTCGCATCGGGAGACGCAGTTGACACGGATATTACACGTAATTTAAGAGACTTTAATTTCATAGAGTCTCTAACTCACAAATGATCATAGTGTTGTGGATATGCATGGATTTACGTCAGAACAATTAATGCGATCCAAGAAATGTGTAGCATGAGGAACTTTTTTGGGCCAATTTACGCGTGGCATAATTGCAGAGTATACGGGTGAAAAAATAGGAAGATGAAATTCATCGAGAAGTTTTCTAACCTAGGTGTCGAACATGGACGACAAATAGACTCGTCCATGGCGAGTTTGCGTTATTCAGTCACGCGGTTAACTCCCAGTGGCGGAACGATGCTTACAAAGGCCCATGGCTTATAGCTAATTTTTCCAATCTCTTGATGAGCTAACTAACAATTAAATCATACGTCTGTCTTTGTTTTTTCTTTAAATTAAAACAACAAAGACAGATCTATGATTTAACTGTCAGTTAGCTTACCAAGAGCTGGGAAAAAATTGGCCACCAAGTGTGTTTCAAGACATAACACATTGACGTTGCTGTAATGAAGAAGAAATTTTACTCAGTCCACTTCCAGCTGTTCCAGCTATCCCAGCTATTCCTATTCTTTGAAGAGGATGTTTTCAGATTGATACAGTCTATTATTTCACAAATATTATTATCAAACTGTATGATAGTATTTCTCGAAATAGACGTATTCCATTTGTACATATTTAACTCTTAGGTTAGCTGAATGTTACTCTTATGATCAGATTTGGATGTTCTTCAGTAATATACGTTATAATCACAATTGATGAGTATCCATTTAACTATCTAGAATTACTATCTTTCTTTAGGCTTAAACATTTGTCTATGTGTAAACTTATGTGCCGCAAAAGGAATGCTTAATAAACATTTTCTATTAATTGTTAGAAATATTATATCATTAAATATTAAGCTATCATGCATGAAGTACATGTGAATACATCTAATGCTTGTATAAGTTCTATATGATGGGTCATTTCATAATGGTATAGCTCGAGCAAATACTAGTGCAGATTAACGAACGAATTAAAGTATTCTTCCGTAATGAATGAACCAAGTCGGTTGGTGTTGGCTCCTGGTTGGTTTTGGAAACCTTGTTAAGATGCTGAAATATACTTAAACGTAGAACCATATTTACGAAGAACCATATTTATAAGGTTGGATCTTGTGTTTCCGTTAAATTTTACATCCGATCACCTACGTTAACCACGTCTTTGTCTCTGTATGCGACGTATCTTCTCTCAGATCGATGTTCGCAGACGACGTCAGAATATAGCTATAGCGAGCTAACTGATGAGATTCGGGACCTACAAGATGTGCCGACACATCGTACGATCTTAACAAGAAACACAACGAAAATGGACTAGCTTGAATCGATTAATCGGTCGTATTTGGGTGAAATGTAGTAGCTTTGTTAGCGTTACGAGATGCTCCATTTCAAAAAATAGGCTCAGCGGAAATCTCCAAGCTGATAACACGACATGAAACGCTGATACAGCGCTGATAGCACTGAACACGATTATGTTGTTCGATGTGGTTCGCGGTAGAGTGTTGCCGTTATACCTATACGATTAATATAATGTATAAGGGTAAACTTGGAAAAAGGATCGCAATATAATTTTGTTCATATATTCTCCCGATGGGATTTGACTTGGTTCTCGAGGTGTGTAGAGTGTGACGAGAAGCAACAAAACGTTTATGTTTTCAAGAGGATTTTCCTGCTCTGCCTAATCTTGGTGCAGTCTCGTAATGGTCTTAACCTTTTGCTGCAGCACCAGGTTTTTCACCAATTTGCAGAGCCACACTGTATTATTACGCATGTGATCGATTGTTCTTTAACATATCGCTCAGCTAATTATAGAAGGATAATTGAGTTCACGCTAGAAGAAAGGATTCATGATTACTTCACTGATTAAGAACATGACTGATTCATGATTAAAGATTACTGGCTCTCTGATGGATTTATTTCTTATGTTTTTTGTATCTGCGTATTTCTTTCATTTTTTCATATCAAGTAGGCAGAATCCGTGCTCGATTCCAAGACCCTTATTCTGAAATCTTTTTTACTGATAAAACTATCCCCAAATGTGACTTATAAGTCTTACGATTGGCCTTTTGATCGAACATTTGGAGGCAGAATGAAAGCCTAAATATGATCAAAGTGGACACCCATTCGATGTGTGGTCACGACACCCTATCGTATCCAGCACTGCTGCTGGTTCAACGGGAGGTCGACTGAAGAAGCGACAGCACAAACGTTGCTTTTGCGCCCGTCCAATGAGGGCGAGACTAAACGGGTAAGAGAGAGAGCATTATAAAGCGTATAGTGCGATGGAGAGAGAAAGGTGGAGACGAGAGTGCACTAAGCTAAAGGGAGAAGGCGAGAGAACGGAAGAGAGAAGAACATATCGTGTGGAAAGCTGCAGAGAAAGGGACGTACCAGGTTCAAAAGACAGCGAAGGCGCTGGGTCTCGTCCGGCAGTCCGGGAATGGCCACGTTGTGGTGGACGTATCATACAAACGAGACATTCAAATCCACGCTGTATTCCTCAGGTCGTACCTCGCTCGGAAATGCCCAACGACGAGGACGCGTCGACAGTGGAACATCGCTGCGAAGCCCAGAACGGTGATAATCATTACACGGCGTCGCCGTCGTCACCCTCCCGCCTCATCGACTTCGAGATCAAAGAGTGTAAGAAGGAACCTGATCCCGGCTGCTGGGCCAGCGATGACCTATCGGAGTTCGTAAGTTGATGAGATTTTCGTGAGTTCGTTAATAGTGTCGCTGGCGAAGCGCGTCAGAGCAACAGTTATGGCGCGATCGATGTCTTGAAAAATTCGGCAAAAATGTTCCTAAGAAGAATACCCCATGAAAATATATGAAGGTCTCGTATGGATAGTGACCAAGCGTTGCCGCGCTTTTTCCATGTTGCTGTACCATAAACGCAGCTAATTTTCGCTTGGTTCTCTGACGCGCGACGTCGTATAACCTGTCATTATCTCGTCATGTTCGATAAATAATAAACCATGGTCATTATTAATAAATTACTCTATAGTTATTTAATTTATAACTTTTATAGTTAATTAACTTATAATTAACCAAAAATTTTCAAGATATGTTCTTTTCTGAATCTACTTGTCAACTCATTGTTTCATATAGTATTCTCCATAAGACCATATAATGTAACTTTCTTCTTGCTCTTTCTCTTAAGTACTTTATCTGTTTTATGTTCGAGAAGATAAACATGCGAGGATAACACATATTTTTCTGTTTCTTATAGGACAAATCTCCAACAAACGTTGAAAATACAGTAGACAGTCCAGCACATGGACCTACAGTGAAAAATCCAATTATTTTGCTAGAAAGATGCGATAAGATTTGGGAAACATTGCAACTAATAAAGGGACAGTATACAAGTCCAATAATAGAAGGGGAAGATGAGGAAAAGGAGAAAAAAGAAAAAAAAGTAGCACTTTTGAATATGACATTTCCCATTAAGGGTCAACGTAGATTGACAAATGACAGCAAGACACCTTTTTTCTCAGTCCAAAAGACAAGAAGATTATATCCCTGTGTTACATGTGGCAAACAGTATTTGGAGAAGAGATCTTTGAGGTCGCACTCATTGAGGTTACATGGAATTATTATCCCGGTAAAGCACAGGCGTACTACAAAGCTGAGAACAGTCAACACACAAGGTTCGAACATTTTGTCCAGTGAAAGAAATAGTAATTCTGACAAAGTTCATAACGACAATTCACATGAGAAGATGGTGGCTGGAAAATCTGGAGCTACTAAACTTGCACCGATTTTTACTCATTCAAAAATACTACAAAATGTATCTGATGTCAATCCTAGTAAAGATCGATGTAAGAATATAGATAGTGGGTCATTTGTTTCTAAAACACAATATAGCAAATGTGCATTGTGTCGACAAGAAGTAAAGTGTGTGAAAAAGCATTTGATCAACTATCATAAGATTGGATGCTCGGCGAATATGTTGAAACAGCTGGAAATGTCACTGTTGATTGAGGATAAATCTTCACCTAGCAGCAGCAAGCCCACGTTGAAGGACATACTATCCGGTAAGCCTCCGCAAGCATCTGTTAACAAAGGTACGCAGAATAAATCTCACATAGCAAGCAATGAGGACAAAACTCGTGAAACGTCTCAAGTAGTACCGCAAAAGCGAAAATACACGTTGTCCTATATAAGCGCTAGGAAAAGACTCAAGTTGAACAACGGACGTTATGTTCCTGTCCAAAAAACGTCTAAAATCGCACAAGGGCAGGTTCAGGGTCAAAGAAATGTCAAGAACAAATGCGATATTTGCTTAGGAGTATACGCAAACTCCCATAATCTTGCCAAACATAAACGTATTCACACTTCCCGTGGAGAAACCAAGGAGAACTTTCACAATTTTGTATGCAACTATTTCAATTCTCCGTTGAGCAAAAGGTATCAGCAAGCGAGATCTTCCGTACAGTCAACCGACACGGAAAATCGTAACAACAGCTCCAGTGGAAATTTGCAATCGAGCAATCCCAAACCAAGTCAAGAACAGAGGGCCAGTCGAGCAGCCACGCACAATACAAGCAAAGAGGATACTACTTGCTTGTGCGGAAGGTCATTTCGAAATCACCTTATCTTGCGTGCTCATAAGGAGATCTGTAAATCATACAAGCAGAAAGATAAAGAGGCGCAGCACAGCACAAGAGACGAATACAGCAGCGACAGGGACTCGGGAATCGGTATCAATATTACAATCAAGAAACGAAACAATTCGTACGAGATAGTCGGCAAGGACGGCGAAGAATTTAAGCAAATCGAACATGACCCGGACGGCATTCTGTCACTTGACGTGTCTCACGATGTTATCAAAGAGGCTACCAACGTAGATGCTAGGCAAAAACGACGTGAAAGCAATGCATCGAAGTACAGCAAAGATCACAGTGTTTTGAAACTGCAAGATGCGGACGAAGATCTGATTGTTGATATCGAAGAGGATGCGTATCTACTTTCTAAACAGAAAATGATGCAGAAGGCTGTTCAGCGAAATGACTGCTCTCAAATGCGACAAGACGATGACGCGGCAAGTGCGAAAGGGGACAATACGCTCGAAAATGTTCGTTCCTTAAAGCAGATGTGTGAAGCGGTCCTGAAGAAATTCACAACGTTCCAGAAATCGGAAACAGAGAATGCACCGACGCATCCAGAGAAGAAGGCAAGACCTGTGAATACAAGCCACAGGACAACGAAGAAGGAGCAGGCGAAATCAGGGGTTTCCACGATGAACTTCAATCTTACGACATGCGCATATTGCAATAAGCACTTCGGCACGGTCAATTTGTACAACAAGCACCAGTGCACCGTTGAGGAAGGCAGGAGATTTGACGAGTATTCGCTGAACTTGCTATGTTTCTCTTGCAATGCCACGTTGGACAGTTGCACCCAATTCGACGAGCATATGAAAAACAAGCATCACACTCGTGGCTCGTACTATTGCTACTTGTGTCCTAAGAAGTTCTGGCAGAAGAAAGCACGGAATAAACACATCAGCGCGCAGCACGATACTTCCTGCAGGTTTTGTCACATGAATGTCCCATTGTGGATAATAAACCTCCACGAGTCTTATCACCTAGGCTTCGGCTATCCCTGTCACAAATGTAAAAAAGCGTATTCGTCTAAAAAGAATCTTTCGTATCATGCAGTGATACACAAGAACAACATCGACACCATGGAATTCTGTACTTTATGTTTAAAATCGTTCAAACCGAAAGTTTTCCAGAGTCACTTGCAGTCGCACGACAGTAAGAAATGTTACTTTTGCGACAAAGAGTTTAACGACAGGGCAGCCACGGAGTATCATACTTTAATATATCACGGCGGCGCGTTTTCTAAAATAAAATGTAATAAGTGTGGTATGCGTTACTTGACCAAAAAGCAACTCGAGCAACACAAGAATACGGCCGGATGCGATCGTCTAAAGAGAATAAAAGAAAAAAATATGTTGTAATGCGCTAAATATTGTTGGCAGCAACATCTTAAAAGGGTAACACATGCAGACAGATTAATACATGTTTCTATCAATTTGGTTAAAGTCTCAAATTGAATATTCTCTGTTTGAGTAGAATTTAAACTTAGATTAAGGTTTAATCGATGTTGATAGAAACGCGCATATATGACATAAAATTAACCAATCAGTCCAAGCAAGTAATTTATTACTTTCTGAATTATTTTTGACGTAATATCAATATATCGCGTAAGTCGTACATTTACTATCACCAAAAGGAGAACAAAAAAGTGTGTTTTGTTATTTTTATATTGAGCTAATAATTGGATACTTTTGAAAGCACTTATATTTTTCAACATATAGCCTGCTTGTACAAATATCCGTGTTATAAATCTGCAATATCAATACTTTGTAAAGTTCGCAATTTCTAATTTTACATTAAGCATTTCCCAGACAGCACATTCCTCCAAAGAACGTCCTCAAGACATTTCTTGAAATGTATGTTGTCCGGATGCTATATTGCGATGTTTAAAATTTTTAATGCTTCTACTTGGGTGGGATTTTGCAATGTCTTATATGAAATTTAGATATGATTTACGAGTTACTGGTATCAAGCAGACTATATATGATAAGACATTTCTTTTGAATTCATTTGTAATTGTAATGATTAATATATTATGTTGTAATGAAAGAGGCTTTTCTTTGTGTAAATAAGCTCACACCATGAATAATTGCATTGTGCGCGTTAATCTTGGACAACGCACATTAATCTTAGATTATTTTTATATTTTGCTCCTATTAATCTCGAAGTGACGATCTATGACAAGAGAGTATTTCTGCCAATAATGACAGTGTAAACAGCACGCTTGAATTGCAGGAAAGTATTTTTACGAACACATCATTTATATCGATAGCATATCGTTTATTTCTTAAGCTATTACTTGTGTACAAGATGTAACAAGCCAAAGTCGCATAATCGCAATGTACACTTGATTTCAATATAAACGCTTTTTATCGGTTACAGTTTGGGACATAGCTAATTTCCAATAGGAGAATTTATTTTCTTAGAATTTATTTTCTTAAGTTTTTTCATTGGACGTCAGCTGCATTCCAAGTAACGTCATGAAAAATGTGTATTGAAATCAAGTTTGCACCGAACGGCATAACAGTCCTAACACATAAAATTTCACATTATTGTTAATGAATTGCCATTTATTAATAAATTTAGCCTCAACACATGAAATTATATCATTAATTAAATTTAATTAAAATTGTGCCATTTTATAGTTTTCCCTGAGAAGTATATGGTACTACCTGGAAAGGTATAACTTCATGCGTTAAGGTTATTATGTCGGCCTATGTGTGTGGAGTACGTATGCTATTATTTGTTAAATATATAATATCGAACTTAATACCACGTATGTCATATGTGATATAATGTAACAATATTAATTTTCCTATGTTATTAGTATATCATGACAGTGTCAGATATTGCTTGATGTTAATGTATGTCCGCCACGATAAAAGTAATTAAACAATGTTTATGTAAAATTAATGAATTGATTACTTTAATCGTGGCAATATGTATTTATCAAATATTAATTTTATCTTTTAGACAATGTTTGTCTCTGGGACATAATGTATCACACATTTAATTTAGTGTAAGGTATAATTATAATGTGTATTTTATTAAGTTGTACTAATATAATTGATTTTCTTTTTATATAATTTAAAATATAATTCGTTAATATTACACAATATTAATATGAAAAAAAACAAAGTATGCAAATAAAGTTCGTTTATGGATTTGTAACAAGTATTTTCTGAATCGAAAGAAGTTCCATCTTTATTTTTTGTTTATCGATTAATTATAAATGTACAGAGACGACATTAAAAAATTGTATAATTAGTATTTCTTTTCTTTCCCTGGCAAGAACATTGAATTTGTATGAATTTACACAGAGGTATGAAATAAAAAAAAAACGGGATTAAAGTACAAAATTCCAAGTGTAATTCGAGTATGACACTTTGCAGTATTTGCAGATATTTGCAGAAAAATAAATTATTATGATGATTTATTCACGATATCACCCTTAATATGTTAGAAATAATGCACGACTAAATTCTTTTTGAATTTTCCCTGCTATCTGAGCGACACTCACGCGAATGTTATCAAATATGAAGATGTGTATATAGAGACTTCTTAATTATTTTTACCAAATATTTATTGATTATTATTTATTTATTTTCTCTGAAATCACCATACACCTCAATCAGCAATATCCGCGCGAGAGAATATCCGAAAAATAACTTTAATAACCGTGGAAAGTGCTGGACGCCTTTCCTCACTTTTCAAATGTTCGCGCGCGCAGCCCGAGAAATCGACAAGTGCGGTTAGTGCGCGGCGCGGACGACAGATGTCGCGGCGAGTGCGGCGGCGGCGGACGGGGCGATCAAAGCTGCGCGAAGTATCGGGGAGGGCGGTCGCGTCACGCTTTCCTCGTCGCGCGACTCGCGGAGTATCGCATTCGTACGTGTGTGTGCGCGGCGGCCGGTCGATGCGAGGGGAAGAAACGCCGCGGCGAGAATACGCAACGGAAAAATGACGGCGCGTCGCTGTGTGATTTGACAAGTGAAGAGGAAGCGCGCTCGGATGGGAACAGTGCCTCGTTCGAATACCGCGGTGCTTGACGCTTGTGGACTTTGAAGGTATCATCGCCGCGCGGCGCAACCCTGCGTGCAATCCGACCCTTTCTCTCTCTCTATATTAGAGAGTAGGAGCGTCCTTTTATTACTCTATCTCCCGCCTGCGTTCCCGTTTCTCTCGTTCTCTTTCTCTCGTTCGTCCGCTCGTCGTTCGTTCGCCCGTCCGTCCGCCCCTTCTTTTTCGTTTTGCTATATATATATATATATATATATATATATATATATATATATATATATA